TCTGTATAATAGGTTCCAGTTTCATCCACCTCATTAGAACTGGTTCAAATGTATTCTTTTTAATGGCTGAGTAATATTCCATTGTGTATATGTACCATAGCTTCCTTATCCATTCGTCTACCAATGGGCATCTAGGTTGCTTCCATGTCCTAGCTATTGTAAACAGTGCTACGATGAACATTGGGGTACACATATCTCTTTCAATTCTGGTTTCCTCGATGTGTATGCCCAGCAGTGGGATTGCTGGGTCATATGGCAGTTCTATTTCCAGTTTTTTAAGGAATCTCCACACCGTTCTCCATAGTGGCTGTACTAGTTTGCATTCCCACCAACAGTGTAAGAGGGTTCCCTTTTCTCCATACCCTTTCCGGCATTTACTGAAGCATAAAGATTTTTTAGNACACTGTTTTCCATAGTGGCTGTACTAGTTTGCATTCCCACTAACAGTGTAAGAGGGTTCCCTTTTCTCCACACCCTCTCCAGCATTTATTGCTTGTAGACTTTTGGATAGCAGCCATCCTGACTGGCGTGTAATGAAGACCTCATTGTGGTCTTGATTTGCATTTCTCTGATAATGAGTGATGTTGAGCATCTTTTATTCCAGAAAAATAAATGACCCAATCAAAAAATGGGCAAAGAATTAAACAAACATTTCTCCAAAGAAGACAGGAGGGACTCTTGAGAAGCCTGTTGGCATTCTTCTGTCAGGGCAGGAAAAGCAGTTCAGGCAAAGAGATCAACATGTGCAAAGGCCCAGAGGCAAGTGAGCACTGACACTTGGCTGAAGGTAAAACTAAATGCTGTGCGCACACCACCCCCACACTGCATCATCCTCCCCCGTCCCCTACCTGCGCCTCCATTCAGCTCCATCCTTCTACCACCTGGATACCCTGGCCACCATCCTCACTTCCTATCTCTCATCCACATGCTATTGGCCCTGCCTCTGGGACAGAGGGCTTTCCTGATAGCTTGGTTGGTAAAGAATCCGCCTGCAATGCAGGAGACCCCGGTTCGATTCCTGGCTCAGGAAGATCTGCTGGAGAAGGGACAGGCTACCCACTCCAGTATTCTCGGGCTTCCTTTGCGGCTCAGCTGATAAAGAATCTGCCTGTAATGCGGGAGGCCTGGGTTCGATCCCTGGATTGGGAAGATCCTCTGGAGAAGAGAAAGGCTACCCACTCTAATATTCTGGCCTGGAGAATTCCACTCACTCCCACTACAGCTCATCACTCTGGTCTGAGGTCCATCATGTCTATCCTTCTAAATGGTCTCTGCTTCTACCCTTGCTGGCTACAGAGTTTTCCCAACCCAAATGCCAGGTTAGACCATGTCACATCTCTCCTCAGAGCCCTGCAATGGTTCCCTTCCCTATCAGAGGAAAACTCAGGACTTAAAATGGCCTATAAAACCCTAGATAATCTGCCCAGCCTATCACTGCTCTGAGCTAGCCTCCTGCCACACCTCCCCTCACTCATTCCACCCTAGTCATCCTGGCTGTATGCTTTTCTGGGAATACACAAGCACCCCAGGGCCTTTGCACCTGTTCATCCTTCCACCTAGAAGGCTCTTTCTCCAGATATCTGCACAGCTCCCTCCCTTACCTCCTTCAAGTCTATATCCAGATGTCAGCTTCACAAAGAAGCCTTCTCTGGTGTGACATCCAAAACTGCAGGACCCTCCTCCCCCAGGTGTTCCCTGCCCTCCTTTCCTAATTTATTCTTCTCCATAATGCTCAGCACCATCGATTACACTACACATAATTTATGAATCTCACCTCTTATCTGAATTCCCCCACTAGAACTCGAGCTCCTACAGGCTTGGGGCTTTGTTTTGTTCATTGTTGGATCTCCAGGGGTTAGACCTGGTCGGCTCTCAATTCATAGTTGGGGAATGGAGGGATGACTGTCAGCTCCAGAGGAGAGGGAGGCCGGAGAGGAAGCGCAGGCAAGAAACCTGGGGTCAGGCCAAGGGAGCCGGCATCTTTCAGAGGCCAATGGGGAATCTCCAAGGGAGTTACGTGGGGAGTGACACGGGTTGGATTTTCATTTTGTATCCATCCTCTGGGTCTGAGATCAGGTTGGAAGAAGCAAAAGGAGATGGTAGAAGTGAGGGGCAGTCACCAGACTCTAGCAGAAACCTAGGGCTATAAAGATTAAAATGAACCCTTTTTTAAAAAGCTGCTGAAGGGATGGAGAGCGAGGGAATTTTCCAACTGATTCGAGGTGGTGAGCCCCAGGGGGTGGGGTCACCAGTCAACGCAGAGGAAAACAGGTCAAAAGAGGAGCCCAGTGCAAGGAGGGGGTGAGGCCTGAGTCCAGAGTGTCTCTGATGTCCCAGGCCTGGTGACAGGCATCAGAGGTGAGCTCTGGGTAATGGACAAATAAACTGGTCAGCCGGGCCCAGGAGGAAAGAGACCAGAAAGAGAACCAGCGCCTCCTGGGGGCTGGGTTGACAGACCCTGCCTCATGGGGCTGCTCAACCTGAGCCCTTCCCAGTTCGCAGTTGAGGCCACTGCAGCTCAGAAGGGACCCTGGCTTGTCAGGAGACTGGCTCCACGGCCCTGGCTTGGCCTGCAAGGAGCTGGTGACCTTGAGCAAACCACTGTCCCTCCTGAGGACTTTCAGTTGGGACGCAGATGACTTAGGACTATAGAAAAAGTTTTTCCAGTCTTCCAGCCCTCCCCAGCTCCTGCCTCTTCCAGCTCCTGCTTGGCAAATGTGGTGCCTCCAGATCACACCTGCAACTCATTAACTCACCTGCCTGGGGGAAATTCCTCGGTTTGGAGGTAGGAGGGAAGCTGGGCTTTGCTTCCCAGCCTGGAACCCCTTTAACCCCATAGGAATTGCAGAGGTCCTGATGAATCCCTTGCACCTCCCCCAGCCAAATCCCCAAGGTACACAGTGAAAGCTGGTGTGTGTGCGTGTGTGAACACGCATGTGCCTGCACCTGTGCATCTCAGGGTCCCACAGAAAGGTCAAGGCCAAGGCAGAATTCAAACCTGCATCTCCATCATAGCAGGAAATACAAGGCACACACAAGGAAGAGAGAAAGAAGTACAGGGTAGGATCCAGGATCTCGTGATGGGGAAGGGAGAGGATCCACAAGATCCATGAGAAGAACCACAAGATCTGGCTCAGGTGGCTGAGAGAGGGCCCAGGAATAACCAGGATAGCTGACCTTTTTTGATTCATTCTCATTCAACAAATATCTACTGAGCATCTTCCACAGGCCAGGCACTGTTTCTAAGCTTTAGGTGAAGGAATTGTATAATTGTGTATACTGTGTGTATATAATAGTAAAGGAAAGAAGCAAGAAGATCCCTGCTCTCAGAGAGCTTGCTGGTGAGTAGAAACATAATAAACAAACTCACAAATTTTTAAGGGTGAAATATTAAATGATGAAAGGTGTTATTCAAAAAGTAGAGCAGGGAGGAGGCTGGGAGTGCAGGGTGCTGGGTGGAATAATAGTTTTAACAGATTGGCTCAGGATGGCATCTTGAAGAAATGTTCAGACAAAATTGTGAGGAGCATAAGGAGTAGCAGTAAGCCTGGAGGAAAACTTCCAGAGATAGAAGACAGGAGTCAAGGCCCGTAGGAGGGCCGATTATAGCAGAGAGCAAGGGCAGGGATCCAGACCCAGCCACAGCATCCTTATTAGAGATTTCATTACTCATAGAGTGACCTGGGAACCACTCGGGGTTTGAGCCCGGGAGGGGTGTCACAGATCTGAGTTTGATCAGGCTCCCTCTGTCCAGTGGGTTTCCATGGTGGCTCAGACACCACATAAAGACACCAAGTAAAGAATGTGCCTGCAATAGAGACCCGAGTTTGATCTCTGGGTCAGGAAGATCCTCTGGAGAAGGGAATGGCCACCCATGCCAGTATTCCTGCCTGGAGAATTCCGTGGGTGAGTAGCCTGGTAGGCTACAAGTCCCTGGGTTTGCAAAGAGTCAGCACAACTGAGCGACTAACACTTTCCACTAAACTTTGAAGAGATGTCAGCGGACCTTGGCAGAAGCAGGGAGACGGGATGGCGGGTAACGAGCTGGGCCAGGGCTAAATGGGAGGATCCAAAGACGAGTCCAACCAGGCCTGAATGAAAACACTTTTATTTATATGAAAAACTTATTCTCTGTGATTTTACCTCTCTTAGACTCAGTTTCCACACCTGTTAAATGGGGACACTACCTGTAGCAAACACCTTGAGGATGTGAGCTGCAGGGAGCCTGGCCTGGTAAACGGGAAGCTCCTCAGGGAATGCTGAGCCCCAGGGCCTGGAACTCCTGCTTGCAGAGTGACCCTCGGAAGGTAACTTAACCTCTCTGGGCCAGTTTTCTCATCTGTGAATGGGGTATGACATTCTGGAAGCAGACATTTCTATCATATCTGGAATACAAGAAGAGGCGTGAAGCTCCCTGTCACAGGAGGTCTAGGAGCAGAGGCACCTACTGGAGGGCGGTTACCTCTACTAACAAAACCTAACAATCACTGCATACTTAAGAGACGCTGCCACTGGGCTCAGAAGTCTGCATTTATTGTTTGCTGCATTAACACTGAGCCTGCAGGTTCAGTGTGATCTCATAATGTCACGTGCTATCATCTCATTTAATGCTCAAAACTCAGCTCTCTAAGGTAGGGGCTGGTGCCTCCGTAATTCCCATTTAACAGATGAGGAAACTGAGGCAGAGAGAGGTATGGTCACTCGTCCAAAGTCATTCAGCTGGTACCTAGTGGAACTCATGCGCAGATGGCCTGAATTCAGAGTTCATGTTCTTTTGGAATAACCAAAACTTAGTGCATTACTTTGGGCCAGTCCTGGCTCTGCCTCTAGGCCCCAATTTCCTCATCAGCACAAGAATATTTCCCAGCTGACAGCCAACAGTAACTGCCAGCCATGTGGAAGTGCCATCGTGGGTGCCCTGGGCCCCAGGGACAGGAGCCCCAACAACACACAAAGGGCAGTAGAACCACCCAGCTGGGCCCAGGCAATCCACAGGATCATGAGAGATCATAAAATGGATTTATTTTCAGCCATTTGTTACACAGCGATCGAGAAAACAAAACAGCATTCAGCAGTATTTGTTGACTGCCTGTGTGTACCAGGCACTGAGCCAGACACTTAGAAGAAGCCCATCATTGGTCTCCAGCTTCCAGGCCTGCTAGAAGACTTGAACTTCCACCCTCCGTAATCTGAACAGGGCCCGCAAGGGAGCATGCAGCCCCAGGTGCCGCCTCTCCAGAGATGCCACCGGCAGCGAAGATGAGGCTCTCATAACTGGGTGGAGGCAAGGGGGGCTGAGCCCCAGGCAGGGCATCCCCCGAGGCACCACGCTCCAGGTCTTCCTCCACAGGGGACGCAGGTGGTGTCGAGAGTCCCCCAGCCAGTGGGCAGTGCACAGCCTCCTCGTAAGTGGGGATGGTAACCACCTTCGGGGTCCTAGAGGGACCGAAGAGAGGCTATCAGCAGGGCTGGGGTAAAACCCGATGCACACCAGGGAGGGGGGGAGGGAGGCTTCCCTGGCCCCACAGACACAGTGGGAGCGTGACAGCCACCAGCGTCTGGCCCCATCAGCTCCTTGACTCTACTCTCCCTCCCTTGTAGTCAGACCTCCCTTCTGTTAGTTCTCCACCCGGCCTCATCGCACCCTCTGTCTCCTCAATTCTCTCTGCAGGGAAAGTGCTTCCCACCTCCCTCACACCTTCCCTGCTTCCCTATCAGTTCCCACCTGTCCTTGGAGTCTCCTCTGGGGAGCTCTGCTGATGTCCCTTCACCAAGCTCCCACTCCCTGCTCTGGGCCCCCACAGGACTCTTCCCTCCGTCACTGCGTTGACCCCACCTGGTGGTCCCCTAGGGCAGGGACTGACTTTAAGGGTCCAGGGATTGATACTGGGGATGGGGGGGGGGTTGTTTGTTGAAAAACTAAATGATGATCCATGGGGAGAAAGACTTCCATCTTACTGTAATCTCCCTTACAAGGTCTGGAGTTGCAGCTGCTCAGGGCAAGATAGGAGACCTCAATTCCCCTGCCCATCTGAATGCTTGAGGCCCTGATATGGTAAGTCTGCTAAGTGACTGCCTCTGCTTGCATACCTCCAGAGACAGAGAGCTCACTATCTACTCAGACAACCATATCTATCTCTGAGCAGCTTGGCTTTCTTGTGACTTTCCCCCACCTCCCCTAGATGAACCACCCTGGAGGGACTTGAGATCCCTCCAGGCTCTTCTGACCAGGCTCTGCCCTTTAGATTCCAAGAATAGGTCACTTGCATCCCAGTCACACCACAGCTGATGGAAATGAGGCTGACCCTCTGTCCTCTCAGGGCCCTAGAGAATCACCTGTAGGGAGTCAGTGCTCCTTCCCTGCACAGGACCTTGGGGGTAGGAATGTCACTGATCCTATGTCTGGGATGCTTCTGCTTTGGGAAGGTACTGCCACATACAGGGGCTGACAGGTGATTCTGGAGGTCCCTTCCCACCCCAAGCATCTCTAGGATTGATTATGAGTCACAGCGTTGGCCAGTTCAGCTCCCTGCCCAGCCACATTCTCAGTGGGAGATCGTGGGTCGGTGTTAGGGAAATTAAATGAATAGTCTTGTTTAGGCTTCAGAGACAAAGCAGAGCAGGCCTCTGACCTTTCTTCTAACCTACCTGGACACTGCCCTGACTGTGAATGACAGCTGTGAGCGCAAGACTTGCAGCACCATAGATAAGATGGGGGAGAAATCTCGAGATTGTTGAGCCGCTAGAGGGGTCCTGGCCAACCAAGCCCCAGGCGGAACCACATTTCAAGTTTCACAAGACAAAATAAACAGCATTAACATGAAGCCAGAGCTGCAATTTGGTCACAGATTGATGATGATATCAGTTTGCCACCATCCTGGGATTATAAATGGGACTTCAAACTGCACTCTTTGAAGTCTCACCCACAGAGCTGACAGGCTGCCTGGGACCCTTTCCCAATTGGGACTCTAGATGTGCTGTGACACGGGACTTCCCAGCGCTGTTCAAGTCCGGATGTTGGTCAAAACCCAATTTGGTGATGTAGTCTCTGGTCTATTTCTCTTTCCTTTTAATGTTAGTATGTTGAAAATAAGTTAGGTAATTCTCTAATAAATACCTGTATTATTTATTTGCATGTAACGAGTGGCTTATTTTGTTACAAATCCTTTGAACCTGAGATGAAAGTGAAAACTTTTGCAAGCAGTCAAGTCACTCTATTAACCTGAGCCCCAGTTTCCCCATCTGTAAATGGGGACAGGACAATATAGGCACTGACCTCACAGGACCATGCGAAGATTAAATGAGATAATACAGGGGCACTCTGGTCAAGGAAGCTGATAAGGGGTTCCACCCGCCTCTGACTCACAGTGTCATTTGAAGTGAGGGCAGACAAAGAATATTGCTCCTGGAGGCAGGCAAGCTAGGTTCAATTGCTATGTGACCTAGGCTTTGTTCATACCCAGTCTGACCCTCTTTTCTCTCATTTGTAAAATGAGGGTAACAATTTCTACTTTATAGATTCAGAGAAAGGGAAAATGGAAAATGCTTTGACAACACTCAGGAAAATGTGGATGATTAGGCTTCCAGAAGCCCACATCTCCTGCCCTGCTCACCTCCGAGCCATGCCCCAGCCACTCCCTACTTCTCCAAGCCCGGGAGACACGAGGCAGGCTTTGGGTAGTCCTGGCACTGCTTCAGCAGGCAACAGCTGGCAGGGCAGGGCATAGCTGCCAGGTGAGACCAGCCCACAGCAGGAAGTGTGCTTAGAGGGCAGAGCTGCAGTAGCCCTCACACCATCCCACCTAGCCAGCTGGGCCCACCCAGCCCCAGGTCACCACAGTCATGGTCCCGAAAGCTGGAAACTTGGGAAACATGAAGCCCACGGCAGGGGGACCACATCGCACACTTGAGGGGCAGACCCATTCATGGCGTATCCTGGACGTGGCTCCCTGCAGCTGGGTGTGGCGGGCAGGCCGCTGTGGTCCCCGTGCTCAGGGAGCTTCACTGAGCCTGGTGGCGACAGACAATCTGAGCCTAGCATCAGCTTCTCCACCATTCAGCAGAGTCAGACAACCATCTATAGTCAGGAAAGGGGAAAGGGACCAGGGGTGAAGCACTATTTGCTCCTACACTCAGGCTCTCTAATCTCATTTCACACTCGTGACAAGCCTGGTCAGTCATCGCACAGGTAAACTAGGGCCGCACATCAACCAAGCAGCAAAGCCCCAGCCAACGCCAACCATCACACCTCCCCTACCCGATCCCTAATCTCTCCATACCTCAGCTTTCTCATCTGTAAAATGGACCTTACATTGCCTTTTAAGCAGCGAGGCTTAAATCAGTAGGCATGAAAGTACATCATCAAATGAAAGCAAAGGAAGAGGATTGAGTTTTGCAGGAACTACACCTCCCCATCTATCATCTCATTTGAGCCTAACGGCAATCCTAGGGAAAATTCCAGGATTGACGGGAAAAACTAGATATGCCTCAGAGAATCTAAGTAACAGGCTCAAGAACACACAGCTTAGGAAAGAGTAGACACTGACAGCCTTATGTCCGACTAGACCTAGGCTTTTTTCTGCTGTTCTCCCTGTGGTTGGGGGTGGGGGATCTCAGAGGCCTCCCACCCAGGCACTTCATGTAGGGCTGACATTTCATATGGGAGCTCCTGAGAGTAGGGGTTTTGTCTATTTTGTCCACTGCTTCATTGTCAGTGCCCTGCAGAATTAGGTACTCAGTAAATGTTGGTGAAATTCATGAAAGAATAAGCAGATGAATAAATGAGAAAACTGAGGCCCCAAGAGGGAAATGGGCCCACCCAAGTCATCAGCCTAGATGGTCTTTATCTCTAACCTGGAGTTACCCACAGAGAGCAAGGCGCCTGGAGGCAGGGACAGCTAAGTGACCTTCCCATGGGGCCCAGATGCTGGGCTTTCAGTAGGAGGGCCAGGACGGCTCAGCCCCAGGGAAAAGACAGAGCCATTAGCAGAAGCAGCCTCCCCAACATGAAGCCACTCCGGCTCTGAGTCTAAGACATGGTCTCTGAACCTGATGGGCCATAAGTACCCTGCAGTGGGTGAGTTCCTCCCTGGCCCAGCTGGGAAAGAAGGCTGAGTTCCCCTGCCTGACATGCAGCTGTGGCCCAGACCCTGTTGGGTCAACACAACTGTGTGTATTGACAACACCCACTCTCTGTGTTCAGGTCAGGCTGGGTGGGGAAGGACAGGCACCCTGAGGCATGATCTGGTTCTAACCAATAACTGACTGTGTGACCAGGTAGGTCTCTGGTCTCTCTGAGACCCAGGTTTCTCATCTGAGAAGTGAAGAGGCTCCAAGGTCCTGCCCTTCCCTCTAAAGTCAAACCAAGGCCTGACCACTGGACTAAGGGACTTCCGTTGAACACTCTATTGTCTGTGACCTCAGGGAGCCACAGGCCAGTAGCAGGGACTAATCAGTTACCTTCCTTAACTCAGGATGCATTTTCCTCTCTAACTCAGGGAAGAAGAGTACCCAGGTCCCAGGCCAACTCATGGATATCTGGTTTAGCCCTTAGTGCATGCAAATCCAGTGCTTACAGAGTGGTGTAGGGGAACGCACACCTCACAGCCAGCAGGCTCTGCCACTTTCTAGCTGTATAACCCTCACCCTCTTTTTCTGTAAATAGTAATTCTTACCTTGCAGGTGGGCTGGACTGGGGAATGTGCATGCAGGCCCCTGATATATGCAGGCACAGTAGACACTTGGTGAAACAGTAAGTACATAACAAGAGCATGTATGATACATGCATTCTCAACAGGGCAAAAATTGGTTCTGGGAATCTTGCTGATACTGTGTTTATGTATAAAGCACAGATATACATGCAGACCAAATATACAGTATATCTGTGGTATTAACATTCCATGAGGGAGGATTAAGGGAAAAAAGGCCTAAACAGTCTCCTGGGAGGGAGTGATTTAAAAAAACATGAGAAATATTATGTAAATGTAAGATTTTTTCTCCATTCCCTACCTCATCCCTGGGCTTTTGCACGTACTCTTCTGCCTGCTTAAGACACCTCTCTCCACCTTATCCACTTGAGGAAAAGTTGACATATGTTGTACACCTACCGTGTGCCAGGCTTTGGGCTGAGTTCTTCATATACATCATCTCAGGTAAGTACTATGAGCCGACTCACTGGAAAAGACCCTGATGCTGGGAAAGATAGAGGGCAGGAGGAGAAGGGGGAGCCAGAGGATGAGGTGTTTGGATGGCATGGCATCACTGACTCAATGAACATGAGTTTGAAAAAACTCCAGGAGATAGTGAAGGACAGGGAAGCCTGGTGTGTTGCAGTCCATGGGGTCACAAAGAGTCAGACAGGACTTAGCAACTCAACACCATGCAACTACATTACATTACATTATAGGCATTTGCTACAATTGTCATTCTTATGACTCCTGTTTTATTTCTGATGAGATGTTGAGGTTTAGTGGGGTTGCATAATCTCCTGAAGTCCCATAGGTAGTTAGCAACAGAACCAGGAGAGGATCCCTATGGGTCTGACTCCTGTGGGTAAGTTCTTAACCCCTACACTACTCTGCCCAATAACATGCTAATCTCTACTGCCACTTCCTCCAGGAAGCCTTCCTGGATTTTTCCATGGTCCCATAGGACCACGTCTGCCCTCTTTCACAGCTTTAACTACTCCGATTTGTCAAAGCCTGCCTTCTGTGAAGGGACTTAAAACCCTTTCAGGAGTGCTAATAAGCCTCCAGGACCCCAAAGCATAGGTAAACCTAGACCAGAGGAGAAACCCCATGGGAGTTTGTTGAGTAGATGCCTGATGGTGTGACCGGGCCCTACCTGTGGCCCCCATTCCCTGCAGCTGCATCTGACCTGCAGCTCTCCTTCTCTGAGGACTCCACAGTGAGGTAGTACAGGTCCCTGGAGAGGTGGTATGGGTCCCATCGAGGCAGCTTCTGGGTGCTGGCCTTGACTGACCACAGCAGGCCGAACAGCAGCAGCAGGCCACCTGCACCACAGCAGAAGAAGCTGACCGACCTGAGCAGGGCACCGGGGGCCACAGGCTCAGGGCATCCAGTGGGTGGGGCTAACTGGCTGGGCGGGGGGCCTGCGTCTCCTTCACTCCACCAGGCGAAGCAGAGGGTCCCAGCCACCAGGACCACCGTGCCGCTGACCATCATGCAGTATCGTAGGGTGGAGGCCACGCGGGCCCTGTCACAAGTCTGGACAGAAAAGGAGACATAAGAAGAAACGAGCCCTGTGAGAGGCCTGCTGGATACCACACGTGGGTTTTAGTCCTGCCTGAGATCACTGCGCAATCTCGGAGGGGTCGTTTGACCCCTCTGTGCCTCTGTTTCCTCATCTGTGGGATGGAGGTGATGCTCCCAACTCTCCAGGGCTGCTCTGAAGGCCACGGGTCATGTGTCCCAAGGTCCTGGCACCACACCTGGGACCTGGCAGGACTCAGTAAGCGTGGCTCCTTCCTGCCTGGCCCACCCCCAGGACTCAGAGGCCTCATCTGCCTGGTGTGTGAGACTCCCCTCCGTGTCTCCTGCAGGCTGGGAGGGAGGAAAGTGAACACTGTGGGGTCCGCCAGGCCTGCCAGGAGAGGGGCTTGCTGTTTATGCATTGTCTCACTTCACCCAGGTCACAATCTCGAAAGGGTGATGCTCTTATCTCCATTTGATAGGCTTCCCCGGTGGCTCAGTTGGTAAAGAATTCACCTGCAATGAAGGCAGACCTGGGTTCGATCCCTGGGTTGGGAAGAGTCCCTAGAGAAGGAAATAGCAACCCATTCCAATACTCTTGCCTGGAAGAGGAGCCTGGTGGGCTACAGTCCATGAAGTTGCAAAAGAGTAGGATATGACTTAGTGACTAAACAACAGCTACAACAAATCTCCATTTGACAGAGGAAGACAGTGAAACCGGGGGCGGGTACAGGTGCCAGGGGGAAAGAGCATTGAGAAGCCTGGAGCTGAAATTCACAACACAAAGCAAAGTTTCACCCAAAAAGATGTTTACTGTGGCCTTATTTTTAATGGTCATAATTTGGAAAGAGCCTAAATGTCCAACTCTAGGAAAAGGGTGAATAAACCATGACATAAAATCTAGATGGAATATTCATGACTAATTAAAAAAAAAAAAATCAAGCTCAGCACAGATATTTAACAACAGGGGGAAATTCTTATGATATCTAACTTTTTCCAACTTAGTTGCCAAATTAAGCACACGGTGTTATCTCAATGAGGAAAAACAAAATGCCCAAGGGGTGGAAAAAAACACCTGGGAGGAACCCTGGCTCCAGATTATACAGACAGGAAGGGATTTCTCCAAAACCAACATCCAGGTCATTGTGCACGCTGTTCCCTCTCCCTGGTCACTTGCTATCATCAATGTCCTCTCCACGCTCAGCTTGACTCTCACCCGAGAAGCCTTCAAAGGGGACACTTTAAACTCAGAGTCCCCTGGGCCTTCGTTGACCAAGCTGGCATCTGTCTGTTTGACTTCTCTTCGTGTCTTGTCCTCACCAGACAGCAAGCTCCCTGAGGCGGGTCGGCACCCGCCTCGTTTACAGCTCTATCCCCCAGTGCCTTGCACACAGGAGCTGCTCCATAAACAGGTGTTGAAGAGATTATCCTAAATGAGAAACAGTGCTGCTGAGTAAACCTTGTTGGGTGAAAAGCCCCTCTCCTAGCTGGGAGGGACTGGGGGAGGGGAGGGAATACAGGATGCCAGCTGCTGCAGCACCCAGCCTCAGAGTCTGGTTTTGGTCCCTTCTCTGCAGCTCACCAGTTGTGTCCTGGGATAAGCCTCCCAACTGTGCCTGACCTGTCTCCATACAGAGGGCATCCATACAGAGGGCATGCTCTCCAGGAAAACTTACAGAGTCCCCCTCTCCTCTTCCACAAGTTGAGCCAGTGAAGGAGAGGGCCGGGGACTCGTAGACCTCAGGAAGACTAATGGTCAGCCTTCCAAATGGGGCTTGCCCAGCCTAACAGGGTACATTTGAACGACGCACTGCTGTGCAGTCATCAAAGACACACTCCTCGGGGAGCTGAAGAGCATGGCAAAGTGTTCAAGATCTAGTAGGTGAGACTTTAGATTTCAAAAGGGCATGTTTCCAGATGTGTTTAAAAACGTGTGTATGCATATATACGGAATCTAGAAAAATGGTACTGAAGAATTTATTTACAGGACAACAATGGAGAAACATAGACAATAGACTATGGACATGGGGAGATGGGAGGAGAGGGTGAGATGTATGGAAAGAGTGACATGGAAACTTACATTACCATATGTAAAAGAGATAGCCAACAGGAATTTGCTGTGTGGCTCAGGAAGCTTAACAGGGGCTCAGAATCAACCTAGAGGGGTGGGATGGGGAGGGAGATGGGAGGGAGTTTCAAGAGGGAGGGGATATATGTATACCTATGGCTGATTCATGTTGAGGTTTGACAGAAAACAGCAAAATTCTGTAAAACAATTATCCCTCAATTAAAAAATAAATAAATTTTTTTTAAAAAGTGTGTACGTGTGTGTATGTACATGCGAGCAAGAAAGAGAAAATGTATACATTAAATGAAGTGCTCGAGGAGTAAACCCCAATCTTTCTGAGCCTCCAGGCCACCAGAAGCATATAGAAACATGCCATTTGTAAATTACCTTTGGTTCTCTTCCTGTGAATCTGTCAATGGGGCAAGAACCTCCTGTCTCCAGCTCAAGGCATTTTCTCTGGGGGAGAAAAAGAACCTTACTACACTCTCTCCAAAGACAGTGAGGAGAGGCTGTCAGAAGGAAAAACCGGAAGAAAAAAACCCCCAGCAAATCGGTAACAGTAACCCCTCGCCTATATATTGGCACTTGACAGTTCCCCTTCACACCTGGCATCTCATCTGACCACAATTGAGGCAGATGGGCAGGGCAGGGAAAGAAATTCTTGTTTTGCAAATGACTAGACTGAGTCCACCCTTATGGCAGATGACACCACCCTTATGGCAGAAAGCAAAGAACTAAAGAGCCTCTTGATGAAAGTGAAAGAGGAGAGTGAAAAAGTTGGCTTAAAATTCAACATTCAGAAAACGAAGATCATGGCATCTGGTCCCATCACTTCATGGGAAATAGATGGGGAAACAGTGGAAACAGTGTTAGACTTTATTTTCTTGGGCTCCCAAATCATTCCAGATGGCGATTGCAGCCATGAAATTAAAAGACNAATATAAGTCAAAGTAGAACAACAGCTATAAATATGAGAATTAATTTCAGATGAAGTGTGACATGGCAATTACAGAGGGAATAGATGACATGAAATATGAGAGAAGGTGAAATTTGAATTTGGGCCTTGAAAAAATGATCACAACAGCAGCCAGAGTTTACTGGGAATTTTCTTAAAGCTAATCCTATGAGATCAAATCACTAGTGCTAGGATACCTTTGAATTGCTCTGAATCTCAATTTTAAGATTAGTCACATATAAAACTCATTAGTTATCTTCTGCTCAATTCTGTATAGTTCCTTCATGAGTCCTTTTGAAACCTGGCAAAGGTATCAATCCATGCCTCATTATCCCTGAATTTCCTGTTTTTCCTCTATATTTTGTCAATGGGAATGATGACATGAATATCAAGTAATACAGTTTGGGCCCCACATTCTGACTAGTTCAACAGAGCATGCATTTATTATAAGAGAGAAAACATTTTAGATCAACTGTAGAATTTTCTGTAATAAGGAAACTATTTTATAATTACATTAGTTGATATGCTAACCACTGGGCACCTGTAGCTCTTGAGACCTTGAATCATGGCTGGTGTAAATGAAGAGCTCAATTTTAAGTTCTGTTTCATTTTTCAGTTTATTTACATTTAAATAGTCACATGTGGCTAATGTCTAGTGTCTTGGAGAGTGCAATTCTAGGTAGAATGAACAGTAGGGACAGAGGAAAATAGTCATGTGTATTTGGAAATCAGTTAGTAATCTATATATGCTAAGGCGTAGATGAAGACTATTGTGTATCTGAAGATGAGGCTGGATAGTAGACTTTCTAATAGCAAGCCAAGTTATAAGTTTGACTAGAAATGTTGAAGCCTGACAGTGTGACATGATGAAATTGTTTTTAGAAAAATGTTCTTGGCTTATGAAAGAATGATACAGGATAGGGGACAGGGAGTAGATATGGGGTGAGTATTACAAAGAAACAAACTTAATATTATGAAATCAACTTAGATAGGGGACAAGGAGTACATGTGGAGTAAGTATTACAAAGAAACAATTTTAATGTTATGAAACTTAGAATAATGACAGTAGGAATAGAGTAAAATAGTTAAAGAAATACACTGTGAAAGTAGAATTGACACTCCTTGTGACTGATGGGGAAAGGATGCATGTGAGTGTGGTGGTGAGGAGGAGAAAGACTATAATCATGAAGATGTTTAATGCATTTCTTGTTTAGGTAATTTATAGGTGATAATGTGGAGACAGGAGAGAATTTGGTTTGAGAGAATGCATCAGTTAGCTATTAAAATAATGCTGCATAAAGATCATTAAACAATTCAGTGGCTTAAATCACCCATTTGCCATTGCTCAGAAATTTACTCATTGACTATCCTCAGTCAATGTCCGACTGAGTTCAATTCAGTCACTCAGTCATGTCCGACTCCTTGTGACTCCATGGACTGCAGCACAACAGGCTTCCCTGTCCATCACCAACTCCCAGAACTTGCTCAAGTAGGTGATGACATCCAACAATCTCATCCTCTGTTGCCCCCTTCTCCTCCTGCCTTCAATCTTTCCCAGCATCAGAGTCTTTTCCAGTGAGTCAGTTCTCCTCATCAGGTGGCCAAAGGATTGGAGTTTCAGCCTCAGCATCAGTCCTTCCAATGAATATTCAGGACTGATCTCCTTTAGGATGGACTGGCTTGATTTCCTTGCTATCCAAGGGACTCTCAAGAGTCTTTTCCAACATCACAGTTCAAAGGCATCAGTTCTTCGGTGCTCAGTTTTCTTTATGGTGCAACTCTCACATCCATACACGACTATTGGAAAAACATAGTTTTGACTAGACGGACCTTTGTTGGTAAAGTAATGTCCCTTTGACTATGGCCACTCTGTTTGCTCTGTGACCTAGATCAGGCTGCTCAACATCTCTGAGCTCAAATTACTGCCTCCCAGGGAGGAGCAAGTTGTGAAGATGAAATGGGAGGCTGGCAAGCAGTGACACAGCTGGACAGAGGAGGAACCCTGGCTCTGACACTGGGTAAGTTGCCTAGATTCTCCATGCCTCAGTTTCCTCCCTTGTGAAATGGTCACAATAATATCCTATTGTCCCCGCTACCAACAAGAGAACTTTAGGTGCCAGTTTTCTGTAAAGAACTAAACCATCTGAACAAGAGTGTTCCGAACTATCTTCACCGTAACCCCGGGGCAAACTGAGTCTCCAAGCGCCATGGCCCAAGGCCACCCTGCGAGTTACAACACAGTTAGGAGGAGACTCGGGTGTTCAGACTCTGCGCACTAAACCACTGAGGTCAAGGTGAAGGGAAGGGGACCGGGAGGGGTTGGCTTAGGAGGAGCCGACCTGCTCCTGAAGACGGGGCGGGGGCAGGGATGGGGAGGGTGGCCGGGGCGGGGGCTGGTTAAGTTTATACCCACCTTGGGCGCAGTCATCGCGCCGTAGAGTCAGGCGTGGTCCAGGCGTGGGGAGCCCGACGAATCCACCGGGGGTGAAGACATGGTGGCTGTCGTGCCCGAGGGCAGCGCGAACCTGGGAAAGGCGGTCCCTCCGGCCTGCTGGGGGCGCCTAGCGTTAGGGGCGGCCCTGGCGACCTTCCTCCAGCCCTGCTCTCCACGCCCCCGCAGAAACGCTAACGTCCGGCTGCGGGTCGAGTCCAAGGGTCTAGTCCGCCGCCGTCCGTCCCCTCCCGGCTCCAGTGGGAGCGGTGCCAAACCCCCTTCACCGCTCAAGGGCTTGGCCACCGGGTGGGGGCGTTGACGGGCGCACGGAGTCCCGCTTAGCTGTCGACTCAGGTGATGATCACCCCCGCCCCATCTCCGGGCTCGGCCGACGGCTGCGGGGAACCTGCGCTTGGGCTCCGGGGCGCGGCCCGCCCCACCTCTCCTCGGATCCGCGTCCTCGGGGCCGGCCGCCGGACGGGCGGAGACTCCCGGGTGGAGCGGCTCCGGGTGGCTCCAGGTGCCGCGCCCGACCTTAAAGGAACAGCGAGACGACTGGCTGGGGTTGGGGTTTCCCAGCGCGAAGTGGGGGGGGGGGGGGGGGGGGGGCAGCGGCAAGACCTCTCTCAACCGCTACCTCCCTGAACTGTCGGCAATCCGCAGTCCTCGGGGGCCATCCCGCCCCTACTGCCCCACGAAGCGGGCTTGGGGAACGGGACACGAAACTCCTCCAAGAGCCATTGCGCTCAGTCTGAAACGGCTGTGGCATCCTGAGCAAGCCGCAGGTCCTTCGAACCCTCTCATCCCCAGGAGATGAGCGTTCTCAGAAATAACTGCCTGACTTTAAGCGCTTCCCCAGCCTCTACAGGAATCAAGTCACTGCCCCAGCCGGTGAGAGGCCACGAGAGTGGAGTTGGAGAACAAGGCCGCCCACCTACTGTGTGACCTAACTTCTCTGAACTTATCCACTCCTGTATCAGAGGAGGACTGGGACCCCACCCTACAGGTCTTCGGGGATTGAATGAGTTAGGACGAGCTTGGCCCTTTCACGGGTGCAGGCCGGAGGCACTATTGTGGACAAGTGATTCAGGAGCCTGGAGGAAGGGTCAGCATGGGTGAAGTGTGTGTGTGAAAACTTCTGCTGGGGATTCCTGAGTTGTGGAGGGTAGGAATGGGGCGGAGCCTCCAGGCTGAAGGAGCAGCATGTGCAGAGGGTGGACAAAGTCATAGGCAGGTTAGACCTCAACAAGTTCACCTGGGTCAGAGGGAGGCACTTCTGGACTAACTGGGGTCTGGGTTTTGTTTGTGTCTTTTCCTGCTGTTCCATTGAGCCACGGGGCTGGGCAGATTTCCTTCAGCAGGGGCCTAGGACTCCCCACTGAGCTGATGGAAACCAACTCCCTTTCCAGCCCAGGGACACAGGAGGCTAGAGCCGCCTGCCCAGTGGAGATCTGAAGCTCAGAGAGGGGAAACCACTGTCTCAGAGTCACAGAGCAGGTCAGCGGCAGGGTCCAGGCCCCTAATTCTTAAACTCCTTGTCTCCACAGAAATATGCCACCTGAGAGCTTTAGCGTTCTCTGCACACCGACTCCTCTGACTGGTGAGGTCCTTTTACAGGTTATCTTGTTTCATTTTCACAGTGTGTGTGGTCTGTGTAAGTGTTCCCATTTTGCAGATAGAAAGCTGAGGCTCAGAGAGGGGCAAAGGCCCGTGCAAGTCTAAAGGGCTCACAAGAGGCTGAGCTGAGACAAGGGAACAGTTAGACCTCAAACCAAGACCTCCTTCAGCTTTACTTTACTTAAACTTAACTTAAGTTTACTTAACTTAAACTACTTTACTTTACTTTACAAGCACCCCTCTTGCTGTCCTTGTGGGCCTGCCCACAGTGGGTATGAGTGAACAGCTGGAGGCCTTGAAGCTGTCAGCCCCACTCAGGGGTCAGGGTCCATGCAGGTGTGGGCCCTTTGTTGATCCAGACTCTCCTTTTCCTCCCTGCTGGGAAGCCCAGGGTCACAACTCACAGGTTGATAATGTTGAGATTGAATCCTGGCACACCCCTGAACTTGCTGAAACCCAAGTCCCCTGGCCCAGGCTGGCCACTTGGGTCCTGGAGGTGGTCAGGTTGTGATTTCTGTACTGACTCAGTCACTTCCAGGCTGGACGACTCTGGTCTTATCCTTCTCTTTAAGCTGCTGTTTCCTTATTATCAAGTGGAGACCATGGTACCTCCTTCCCAAGGTAGCTATGAGGGCTCAGTGCTTTAGTAAGACCTTGCCCATGAGGAACTGGCTTGGGTATGCTCTTGCATTACACAGTGGCCCAGTCTGTGAATCTCTCCTAGTTGATGGTGACCTCCTTGAGGACAGGGAGAAGATGTGACTTGGAGCAGGGCCAGGACCAGAAGGGACTGGGACTGGATGGTGACTTGAACCCAAAGATCTGGCCCAGCTCTTCTGGCTCCGTTTTCCTCTCCCCTACTTTTGGAGGCTCTGATCCTAGCCCCCGAGTCTGTCGTGATGCCCAGGCACTGTGGAGACCATGCAGGCTTGGGAATACTTGCGGATCCTCTCTGGACAATCAACCTCAAGCTTTCCCTGGCACCCCTGGGCAGCTCAGAGCAGAAAAAATCAGTCACCAACTTCTGCCTCCAGGTATGGGGGAGGGGACTTATCAGACGTCACCAAACAGGGCTTTTCCCATTTAGCTGCCACTTCAGCTAATTCATCAAGGCTGAGAGAGAAATATTAGTACCTTCTCAGGGAACTGACTCATTCGAAAAGACCCTGATGCTGGGAAAGATTGAAGGTGGAAGGGGAAGAGGATGACAGAGGATGAGATGGTTGGATGGCATCACCGACTGAATGGACATGAGTTTGAATAAACTCTGGGAGTTGGTGATGGACAGGGAGGCCTGGCACGCTGCAGTCCATGAAGTCGCAAAGAGTCGGACACGACTGAGCAATTGAACTGAACTGAAATGAGGGTCACACAGCTAATAAGTGGGGGGCTGGGAGTTGGGAGTGGCAGAGGAAGTGCTGAAGTCCACATCTGTCTGAGTCTTCCACACCCACATGTATTTTTCCTCTCCTCAGTGGATTGGAGGCCTGGGCTGCTGCTCCCCACCTCTCACTGGCCTCTGCCTCCAGGCTGCCTGCCCTCTATCATGTACCAGCTTGAGCTTCCAGACCAGCACCCCGATCAGTGTGACTCACCTACCTGAACCTTTCAGTGCCTCCCACTGCCCTCAGAATAATGACACCAGCTTCACTGCCTGCACTCCTCTCATGCCACTCCTGAACTGCTGTCCCCCGTGTCCCAAACGCAATGCCACACCTTTGCTACAAAGGCCCTCCCGTTTTACCAGCTTCACCCAGTGAACTCACACACTTCCCTTAAGACAGGTCACAGGTTCCCTTCTCTGGGGGACGTCTCCTCAGTGTTCCAAAGGAGAATTATGTGGTGCCTCTCCCAAGCCTCCACAGGACTTCTTATCTTTTTATCTCCACTTTAGCATCAAGGAAGCTGAGGTTCAGAGAAGTTAAAACGGCCACCCAAGATCAGAGAACAGAGCAGGTTTAAACTCAGGTTCACCTAACACCAAAGCTCTCTCTCTCTCTCTATATATATATATATATATATAAAAAACACCAAAGCCTCTGGATATATATTATATATATATAATTATATATATTAGTATTCATATTATTTATATAAATATATAGTGATATGTAATATTTATTATATGTTTATATAATTATTATATATAATATATATCTAGAAGCAGGATATATTTATTATATAATTATTATATATTATATAAATTTATTATATATATTATATAATATGATCTGTATTATATAATATAGGACTTTCCTGGTGGCTCAGGTGGTAAAGAATCCACCTACAATGTGGGAGACCCGGGTTCAGTCGCTGGTTGGAAACATTCCCTGGAGAACAAAATGGTTACCCACTCCAGTATTCTTATCTGGAAAATTCCATGGAAAGAGGAGTCCATGGGGTTGCTAAGAGTTGAACACAACTGAGCAATTAACACACACACACATTATATAATATATATATGTGTGTGTATGTGTATATATCCAGAGACAGGAGATAGAGAACTTTGGTGCTGGATGGACCTAAGTTTAAACCTGCTCTGTTTATTTAAACCTATTTTGTATGTATATATTATAATAAATGCATATATATATATATATGTAAAAGAATGTGCAGAGGTCTCTTTTAACCATTGCCCTCTTAAAATATGGATTTCTTGAGAGCTGGGATTTTGTCTGTTTTATCTGATATGTCCAAAAAGTTTTACTGCCTCAAAGAAGCTAGCACATAGTGGGTGCTTGATGCACACTTGTTGCACGAAGGGCAGAATGAATAAGTGTGGATGATTTGAGGGTAGAGGAATGGCATTGTGGGAAATCCTCAAGATTCCTGTTGGGTCCAGAGTTGGGCCAGACTTGGTGCCAGGATGAAGTTTTCAGACCCTTGGAGCCGGCTCCAGCTACACAAGGGACACGCTCTCCCCTTGCAGTCAACCTTGAGAGGCCGTTGTCTCTGGCGGCCCCGTGGGTTCCTGGAATTCTGTGCCTGGGAGAGAGTCTATTCACGAAGAGGCAGGGAGCCACATCCTCTGAGTTCATGTTCTAAAAAAGGAAACTGCTGTCTGTTGGTAAGAAAAGGATTGGAACCTCAAGGCCTCAGCTTCCTTGGAAAGCATTTTCTGCCCAAGTGAGCCAGCCCCGGGCTATTCTGGGGCCTCTGTTCTGGGCAGGCTGAGGCTGGGCCAGCAGCCCTGAAGGGTGGGGGAGATGCACGCCAGTCAGGGGAGGAAATGTGGTCTGGGAACCCAAACAAAGGTTTGTGGATGGAGGGCTGGCCTCTGGGAATAGACACTTAAAAGGAGACAGATTCTGGGAAAGACCCAGCTGTTCCCTCTGTTCCCATAGATCCCGGGAAAGATACCGCAAGCTGTCTTGTCGGTGGGGAGCGTGATTCTGTGTGCTGAGATGGGACATGAGGGAAGAGAGCTGCCCTCACAGAGCGGGGGGAGGTGGGGGAGGCTGACTCGGACTCGTGGCCTTGGCCGTCTCTTGTCCCCTCTCAGTCTCCATTGCCCTACCTAGAAACAATCAGGAGTCTTTTGAAGCTCTCGACTCTATTCTGAGGCTTAATTCTCTCTTCTTCTCCCTCCTCCTCTGAATTGGATTTACTAATCCCGTCCAAGTCTAATAGCAATCCTAGACTCTGTTCATAGATGCAGTGCTTTCTTTGCAGGTCTATAGAGGATCTTTCGGAATTGTCTCCCTCTAGCCTAGCATTTCTTTTTTTTTTTTTTTTCTGATTAGCGAATAATTACTTTGCAATGTTGTGGTATAAACATTGATGTAATGCCATACATCAACGTAAATCAGCCACAGGTATGCATATGTCCCTT